TGAACCACCACACCAGGTCTTGTGTGACCTTTTTATTTGACCATAAGCTGTATGGTGAATCCAAACCAGCCCACTCATTGTCCATTTAAACCAGATATTGAAAGCCACTCAGCCTAAAGGCAGGTTTTGTTTGTCCTGCATGGTATCTGACCAAAATAATAATAACAATAATAAATTATTAATAGAGTTTCCTACTTACACCCAGCTCACTTTACTAGTTTATGTTGCCTTCCTAGCCCTGTGGGCATTTGAGTTTGCATTCCTTGATTAAGCCATAACTTACTGAAGTGGGGTAAGAATTCCAGGTTAACCAGGTTGAACCAATGTGGCTCTAAATGTCAGAACTCAGACTTCCCTGGGAGATCTGGATGTCTCCTGGGTTGCGTGGAGTGCTCTATATTGTCCTAGCCATACTAAACAAATTGTATGGTTATTGCATAAGCAGTCCCAACATTACAGGAAGTAGTGATAGAAGCAGCTTCTGCGGTAATCTATGACCAAGTTCCACAATGGCCTGGGGATTGGAGCTCTCAAGGTGTGCCTGGGTGGTCTGCATGACAGCCCCTACACACAGCCTGGGGTTTATCTATGTCTACTCAACCACTTAACATTGACTTCCAAAGCAACATCTGTGAGAGGTTCATCTACCAAAGGGCTACAGGAGACAGAATGAGAGTGTTGATGGTTTCAAGACTCAGATATCAACAAAACATTATTTTATGCATGTGGTTGGTACCAAGAGACAATATTATCGTCCTTATCATCCAAATTTTCCATGGCTTTCAAAGTTAATACATTTATGGTAAAATCAAAAGGTAATGCTGTATTAATCAGAATCAAATTTATAAAAGTTAAATGGCCTGGTAAGTGCTAAGGCAATTAAAACCTGGACCAAAAAGTCTGCATGCATTTAAACTCAAGTGGGTTTAGCTTGGTTTCTTCAATTTTCTTAACATCCTACATACAGGTAAGCAGAAATGACAACTAAAAATGCTTCAGGCTCAGGAAACTTACTGTTTTAAAGAAAAACAAACACAATATGCTTTTAAAAAGATGTAATCACATCTTTCATCATTTCAATAATCTTTAATATTGGAAAACTGCCAACTCTCTGAGCTATCAAGCATCAATTCCAGGACTATATTCAAATTGTAATACACCCCAGTTAATACTTAAAAATAATAGGTAGTCATTAATGTGAACAGAACAGCCTGAATTTTATGCATATTTATAAGGTCATCCCTTCTTGATTTATTGTACTTCTGTGTAACATTACTATTTGAAATCTTACTATTTCTTTTTCATAGCTGAACATGCTTAATCTGAGAATCTGTCTCCTGGCTACAGGCACACCCAGGAGAAACACATTCTGTTCTGCTGGTTACAATATGGGTTCATATGTATAATACTTCAGAACAAACTCCCTGTCATCTTGGCCCCTCTATGTTACTGTCCCATGACTCTGGGTGCAGCAGCCTGAAAACCACTGTCTATAGATGAAGGTGACACTGGAATCCACCAGCATCTAGGTTTTTCAACTGAACATAATGTACAATACTGGGTGAATAAGGTATTCCATAGGCTTGTCAAAGAACAAGCTCTACAATCACCAGGTCAGAATGTAAAAAGCAAAGAGATTACTTTTTTAATAGGTAAAACTCATAAATAAATAAAACAAAAAATTATCCCAATTGTACCAAGTATCGATAAAATTTTTATCATCACAAGACTCATCTCCTAATCATTTCAAATTGTTTTGCATATTACCGATTTAAAAGTAGAAAAAAATAGAAGGTAACTGCTTTCTGAAAAAGCCATCTACTTTTCAATGGCAGGAACATAAAAAGCTTTTAATTGTACAGCATTACGAGCAACACTCTATTCAAACTTCTAACTTGACAAAATTCACATTCATATAGCAAACTTCATCATCTGCAAATATGGTTTTAGGTATATTTTAACTATTATCTTTAAGTAACAGACTTCTAGAATTATAGATGGTTTGAAGAACCTCACGTAATGACCAAAACATAAAATTTATATACTTTTAATAAAAATATAAATTTTCTTAAAGTATGTATTAAGAAAAAAAAACATTTTGGGGTGAATATTAAGTATAATTACATAATATTAGCTTCCGTAATCTGTTAAAACTGGGCCAATACTGGAAAATCAGAAACTCAGACAAAGCAGAGTGATGCAAAGTCAAATTAAATATGTAAAGCAAACAGCATAAACTCTGAGAAGTCTAAATTACATTCTAATTATATCCCTAATTTCAATAACCCAGCATAAGAGCAACAAAATGTGGGGTTTATTAGCAAATGAGGGTAAGGAGAAGTGCTGAATTCATTAAATAATAATGAGATTCATTTTCTAGCCCACAGGTTGAAAATTACATGCACAATGAAGAGGAAACAGAACAGAATTTTCTCCTGCCCACCAGCTCAGAGCCCCGCCAAAGAAGTGGGGGCAACGGCAAGTGAGGAAGTGTCCAATGTCCATCCCTCCTGGTCTCTTAGCTTTCACAGAAAAGTCAGCTTACAGCTGTAACAGAATTTGCTATTCCCTGGTATGAATTCAGAAGGGAAAATTACACTTTTTCAAAATGTGACATACTCCACATGATTAATATAAAAATCACCCTCATGACCTACAAAGGCAGCTATTACAAAACATGAATAATATAACTTTTCATAGTAGGAATACAAACTGATCTGAGTTTTAGGAACTGGAAAAGCTGAGTCTGGTGACCAAATAGGACTTTGAGAGGAAAGGGACAAAATTGTAAAGAGCATCAGTAAAGTATAAGGTGTAACACACCAGCTCTAAATTAAATGGATTCATGGTAGAGTGCTTCTTACTTTGTCCATAAAATAACTTTTCTTTCTCCTAATCCATTTTAAAGGGCAGCAAAATAAGATGCTATTTGAAATTAAACTTCTTTACCCTGAACTAAATTTTGGTCAGGAGCAACTAAAGGGAATTAAAAATACAGAGCGCTACTAGACTTCAAGCAGCAATTAAAGATGGAAGAAAACTTCCTTGGTCTCCTATAATGCCACATAATTATTAGATAAAATTCAAATTAGCAATATGATATTTCTCAGCATTATATAAGGTCATGAAGTCAACTAGATTGTAAAAATTCATGCCTGCAGATTAGATTATTAGCTAAAGTTAGGAAGTAGTAAGGCTAATTAAAAGATAGGCCCAGGAGTCAATTTATACTTCTTTCTATCTATTAGTGACAATCTTCCTTTAATTGACAGTGAGTTGAATGAAGTAAAAAAGTGAGTTTTTAAATACATTCTACAACTCTACTAAAGCATATTTATTCCATTTTTAAAAAGTAATGGAAAATGTACACATTGATAACACTATCTGAAAGGATTTCAGAATTAATCCAGTAGAAATAATCAGTAAGAATGGCAACAAACAGAAGATTTTAGTAAAAAATGTTTAACATAATACTCACTGATTCTTCATCTTGAATCATCTGTACTAAGTTGTCCAATACAGGTGTCAGATTTCTAAAGAGATTTTAGAGATGTGGACAGTGGAATCAAATCAAAAGCTTTCAGGAGGCTGGTTATTTTCATCATTGTCATATAAAAAAATTCAAAACTCTTACTTGGATTTCATATTATTAAAATTTTTGCCTAACGCCAGGTGTTGTATTGATCTGTTTTTACTGAGCCACACTATTAAGGTAGATAGGTCAGATTCTAAACCTGGAAAGAATCAGAGTAAATAAAGCATCAAAACACATGTGTATAAATTAATTCTCAGCTGGAACACAATTAAGCAAAGGTGACATGTAGTTGGATGACTTCCTTTACCTTCCTGAGGGGCCTGGGATTCTAATCTTTCATTTTCAAAGGCACTCTTTGCTCTCTTTTCATGTCCTATTATTTCACAGGGATAAACTCATTCTCTACAAAGACTTATCTAAATCTGTTATACAATCAGTGGCTAAACCAAGTCAGCAGGAAATGGGATGAATAATGGCAGAAAGTTTCATCTCTCCCCACCACTCTGTTAGAGAAGATTCCAACAAACTGTTCACTAGGGGGTAAGTGGAGTTAAAGTTGTCTATGCAAATTTCACAGGTTCATACTAACATGATACTACAATCAGCAGAAATGAAGCTAATGAAATAAGCTTCTGAATAAATAAACAAGAGTACAATTTTATTATCAGCAAGAATGCAAAAAGTTGGGCTCAGACCTTTTTCGATGTACTGGTGATATTTTTGTAACTGAGTTGTTTTACTGCACAGACTTTGCATAGTTGGCCACAGAATCAACTTAGCAAGACTCTGGCACAGTTTTATTCTACAAATAAATCCTATTGTTAAATTTAAAAGCCCTATTAGTTAAGAAATAAAATAACATTTTTATTAAGGTATGTCTGGATTTGGGTAGAAGATTATTTTCCCCTTATTAACTTGCTTCAAAAAATATTTCAGTTTCATTTCTTTTCTGATACCTGACTTACCATTGTCGGAGATGTCTAAGCTGGTGATGTTGTGTATTTCAGCAATGCAACCTTCTAATACTTGAGCACCTCCTGATCTCAGCTAGAGAAACACAAACCAAACACAGAGTAAAGTCTTCACTCTACTGGAAGTGTAATCAAAATATTAAAAATAGGAGAGACAGTCAGTCTTAAAATAAACTTAGTACCAAAGAAAAAGTAAAAGCTTATCAACTCCAAAGAAGCCTATCACTAGCCACTGCTGCTGTAAAGAGCCTATCACTAGCCACTGCTGCTGTTTCCTGTGCCACGTGATCCCACGTTAAATCCTAAAACCATTAGAAAAAAACAAAAGAGAAACAAGATGACCACCACCCAGGCCACTATAATAGCAAAGCAGTGTCAACCCGGAAGAACTTCTTCATTTCTGACTTTTGGAAATCTAATAAATTCATTTTATACATGAGGAAGTTACTGTTTTATTTGACTGTTACCGATTCCAAGGTATAAACTCTCCACCCAACCAAAGGAGACAATAAAGACTTACTTTGATTGTCAAACATTTCAGGAAGGACCCATCCCTACCTGTTCTAAGAAACGAGTGTGAGTTCTCACTAATAATTAGCTAACTAAAGATGACTGCACAATTATTTGTAGAAATGCTTCGAGTCATGGAGGGAAAAATGTTGAATTAATATAAAATATCATTATGATGATTATTTTAGAGCAAAACTAAGTGCAAATGATTATTCTCACCTCATGTGCAATTTTATTTAAAAGAGAAAAACAACCTGAAAAACCCAATACAGCACTTTTCATCTTTTCCTATGAAACCAAAGCATATTTTACAGGAGTCATAATATCTTTGTATTTTCCATTCAGCAATATTTGTTGAGTTCCTACTCTGTGTAAGACACTGTGAAGGATGCAAAGTTCCCTAAGCTGTGGCCCTTTTGCTCAGTAAACTTATTATCTAATGAGGAAAAACAAACTATCATTTATTGGAAACCTGTGAACCAAGGAACATGGCAAGTCCTTTACTCATGTAGGAAAATTAAAATTTATAAAAATTTTGACAACAAATTTACAATACAAGGTGCTATTTTCCACATGTCTAGGTTTTGATGTAAGAATTAGAAGAATCCTCATTTCCCTATTTTGGATGCAATATTTTGCTGGTTCCTTGGATCAGAACTTGCCAACTTCTCTGGCTTTTTGTATGGTAAGCAGAGAGTTCTGCACAGATCTTTGAGAACGCTCTCTATTCAGAAGAATTTCAGTGGGGATGTTTACATTCAGCCATTCCTACTTTTCTGAGACAGTATCTCACTGTGTTGCTCAGGTTGGTCTTGAACTCCTGGGTTCAAACAATCCTCCCACCTCAGTCTCCCAAGTAGCTGGAATTATAGGCATGTGCCACCGCATCTCGCCATTTCTACTTTTTAAGGTGACAGATTGCTCTAAGGTGAGCTCTGAAGTAGAGTATTGCAGAGAGGCAGACCTCTCCAAGGGACTGGTTTACATACTTCAGGGAAACCAAAACCAACTTCACAGCTGAAGGGCTTCTAACCTGTGTGTGAAGCTATTGTCAGGAATGAGTGGCAGGCCCATTTCACTACACCTGCTTGTTTTCTCAGGAGCTCTCCAGCTTACTCAAATGCCCCATCAGGCCTGTCTCATCATGACACCTGGACATCTTCCCCAGCACCTTGCTACTCAAAATCTGAGATGAATAAGTACAGAAATTGAGTGTAAAAATTTTTAGAAACCTTAGTAGTAAACATTTTAGGTCTGTTGTATCTAATCACAAAAATTGGGGGCTTGCATATCTCACATCTTTCTAAATCTTTCTTGTATTTTATTCTTATTATATTTTATAAATCTATTGGTTTATGATAGATTGGAAGTTTAAAAAACATAAAAATTTATTTACTACAGATAGTTCTGAAAAGCATGGCTCTTGGTCACAGCTTGTTTAAACTTGAAGAATTAAATGTGTACATACATTATGTCAAAGCTAAAACAAGAACTAATTTAAGTAAACACTTCTCCAAAAACAATTTGATTTTTAGAGCAAGAAAAAAGTATGCTTTTGAGAAGGTAAGTGTAAATGCATAAGTCTTTACAATTTCATATTTGCTGAGAGTTATTTACTTGTTGAGAAATAAAATTTCTGTTAGAAAATGTCTATGTTCTATCATTGTATAGTAAAAATATTCCATTTATAGAAATAGAAAATATAGGTAACATTTAAAGGTTTAACTTTGCTTATATATACTCCTTACTGATAACATTTGCAGCATATACACATAAAACATATTTTCCAATACTTAAAAAATAATCAAATGTATCAATATATTCTAATTGATTCATAAAGTACTTACACAATGGCCAAGCTAATGAAAGCCCAAGGAGAAAAAACAGAAAACATTATCAGCAGTATGCAGAACAAGAATAAAGAAGAAGCTAAAGTCTCTATCAATACAAAACGTAAAAAAGCAGAGAGTCAGGAACAATACTTCTAACTAAAATTTGCTCCCAAAACAAAAATTTAGATACAAAAATAACTGCGCTTCAGTTACCAAGAACATTCAATTTAAGTCACAGGTTATTAAATGTCTAAAATTCTCCAAAAGCTAAAGCTTTCCCAAAACAGTAAAAGCTTTTTCATTACTGTAAATGAAAATCCTTTTAAATGAATTTGCATAATTAGAGGCTGTCTGCATGTGTGCATGTAAAACTGGTTTTTAAATTACCCTTATTTGGATCCCACACACTAGCATTATTTAAAAGAAAGCAAGATCAAAGAGAAGTAAATGTGACTAAAATGATGAACACTTTTTGAACTCTTAAAAATAAAATCACATTTCTTTCAAGAGAGTAGTATCCTCTCACTCAAGGAAAGTGGAACATTTCTGATCTTACTCATTACTAAGGAAAAAGTAATATCAAACACTCAAATATCCATAATGGGGATAAGGACAGCAAGGAAAATTAAAATCTAGAAGGAACTTTCAATAATTTACTTTCCTTCCTTAATATCATTTATCATTTAAAAAGATATGGCAAAAATATAAAATGACCCCCAAATTATCTACTATTCTTTCATAGGGGTTCCAATAGTAATTTTTTTAAATTAATTTTTATCCTGGGAAATTTTCATACATAAAACTGAATGGTACAGGTTTCTCCAAGGACAGAAAAAATGATTAGACAACATCCAGTTCATAATGCCCACTTTCTAGCAGGATTTAATGCCAAATAACAATCTAATACCTAAGAAGGATGTATATAAATACAGTTGTTTTCTTGTCTGTTGGTTTGTTTGTTCGAGACAGAGTCTCACTGTCTCCCAGGCTGGAGTGCAATGGCACAATCTCGACTCACTGCAACCTCTACCTTCTAGGTTCAAGCAATTCTCCTGCCTCAGCCTCCCAAGTAGCTAGGATTACAGGCGTGCACCACCATGCCTAGTTAATTTTTGTATTTTTAGTAGAGACGGGTTTCACCATGTTAGCCAGGCTGGTCCTGAACTCCTGACCTCAAGTGATCTGCCTGCCTTGGCCTCCCAAAGTGCTGGCATGACAGGCATGAGCCACCATGCTCAGGCAAATATAGTCATTTTCAAGGTGCAAATGGGTGCAGATATTCATTGCTTTCATATATGCATCCTGTCACGTGAAACATTTGCAATTCTGCACTCCATATCTGGCCTAACAGGGAAGTGATAGGTGAGGGGAACTACAATGATGCTTGCCTCAAGGTTGGTTGAATGATTATCAAATGGAATGAAACTGTAAAAGTTTCTATTCAATTGCTGCAAAACACATTATCAATGTCAGTATTTGATGTTCTTTTTTCTACTCATCATGAATTGCAATAAACTGTAGGATCATCTTCAGAAAAGTTTCCACTTCAAGAAACTAACTCCCACACCCAGGCCTGCAACTAAGCCACAACTATAATTAATTGCCCTTTGCATCTTCTCTGAAGTATTAGAGATTTTTGTCTCTCATTTGGAAGGAGATTAAGTTTGAAGAATTTAGTCCCATCATTTACCAATTCTTCTCTTAATGTATAACTATGAAGTTATAAGATTTTTAAACATACAAGAATGCACATGGCCAGGCACAGTGGCTCACACCTGTAATCCCAGCACTTTGGGAGGCCGAGGTAGGTAGATTATTAGACGTCAGGAGTTTGAGACCAGCCTGACCAACATGGTGAAACCCTATCTCTACTAATAATACAAAAATTAGCCAGACACAGTGGCATATGCCTGTAATCCCAGCTACTCAGGAGGCTGAGGCAGGAGAATAGCTTGAACCCTAGAGGTGCAGGTTGCAGTGAGCCAAGATTGCACCACTGCACTCCAGCCTGGGTGACAGAGCAAGACTTCGTCTCAATTAAAAAAACAAAAGAATGCATAGATCCATTGCCTCTCTTCAGATACCTGGGTACATGGGAAGAATACTCATGAATGACAATATCACTACTGCCATATAAAATGGTTTTGAAGCTCTTCAGAACTAACCTAGAGGGCAATGGAATACACACATTTCTCTGAATATCTGTACTGACACTAAATCCTAACCCTTTGAGAATGAATAAGGATCAGCCACAGGCCATCCTGAAGCTAATCTGGCCATGAAGTATAATACTGTCTTGTGTCAAAAAAATCAGGTTTCAAGAAGAATTTGTCTCACCAATAAGCTGATGAGAGTAATCCTTATTGAAAGATGTAAAACAGCTTTGAAGGCAATTCCCAAAAATTTTTTGATAAAGATTGAATATTCATAAAGCTGCTAAATAAAAATTTTTAGAAGGGCAATACTGACCTATGATACCAATTCTGACATTCCAAATAAAGCTCCTCCATCGCAAACCTTTTACACCCTAGATGATGGCTCACATATGCTGGGCTGGCGTACTGACGTTGTGCCAGACGCTAGCCTTGAAAACCATTATTTCCATTCAATAGATGAGCAACAAAGGCTGAAAGAAGGTGAGTCACCTAATAAGCCAAGTAAGTGAGCCATGTTTCAAAGGGGGCCTTTTGATTCCAAAGTGCTCACCCTTAGCTCACTCTTTCGCCTCCCATAA